GGGGATCTAGCTGCTTTTCCTTCTATGTAATATTTGACACATTTGGTATGTTCTTGTGCATATAGGTTATATAACAAATCAGTGAACCCAACATCTAAACCAGCATTTCAAATGTCTTTCATATTCTTTTTTTTTTTTTCCATTCCTGCCCATGCCTCTGCTTCTATCCTCATAGTCCACCTCATAATCATTTATTTTTTCAATAACTATCGCATCTAGCTTTGTTTCTGTACTTGCTAAAATTGTCATCTGGGACTTATTTTCACTTGACATTGTTTAAGGCTAATTTATGTACTTTTGCATACATCTGGAGTTCATTCATTTTCACTGCTATGTAACATTCCTAAAATGTTTTTTCTTCTGGCATTTGGTAAGTACTTTAGTTCATTTCCTTATAGAAACAGGATAATTCTGAGTAGGGAAAAGGCTTACTGTATTTGATTATAAAGTAAAACAAGTCCTGCCAAACAATTTTGCCCATCTGCTTGACATTTTCTCTCACACACAATCTACTCATCTCTGCTAGAGCTAAGAATATTTTTCTCTTCTTAGGCACTATCCTGAACCTAGTTGACATGAACTGTTGGAATACACCTTGGTTGGGAGCTCCAGTTAGCCCTGATCGCACTTGAAGACCTAACATGATTTGCACCAAAGTTAATTACAATATGAGTTGGGAACCTACCAAGTCAGAGTCTGATAGAAAAGTGTGAATAGCTTTGAAGGAAGGGATATAAGGGAGGAGACCATAAAATTCTACATGGTTGAGTTTATCCTGAATACTGTCTCAAAGCTCTGTATTAACTAAAAGCAGGCCAAATAAAAACCTGTCATGGTAATAGCCAAGCCAGTTCACCTCAAGAAGTGCTGCCATATTTGGTCTTGTACTTCTACTTGGATTGCTAAAGTTCTCTGAGCTCTTTCCATGTCACACTTTGGCCACTGGTCAGTAGCCATGGTGGTAGCAGAAGATATAATAAGAAAATTAAGTCTGTTTACAGTGGAAGAAACTGATTTGGATACAGAGGGGAGAACTGTATGTTAATTGGGCTGCAAGATTTTCTTTTTGGGGTCTATCCTTGAGGTACCCCATAAATGTGAGCTGAAAAGATAAACCACATCATTTAGAGTGTCAAAGGCTCTCCAGATCATGAATGAACTTGGGACTCTGATAATAATAGCAAAACTGAAACAGCATAGTCACTCTTTCTAGAGTTTTAATTCAACACTACATTATTGAGAAAATGTCATATACCAAGTTCTGGGCTAGGCTTTATAGACATTTCCTTTCTAGAATGTAGCAGATATCTAATTTGGTTGCACTGACCAAAGGAAGAGAAGCTGAAACTCTTACAGGTGATTCATCTGACAAGCAGTTGGTTTGTCTTGCTTCAGAGACCTACAGCATGTTCTGTGCAAGTATATGAACACATATTAATATCTAATAGTCTGGATATGAGGAAAAGGAAATAACTGCATTCCAAATAGGGATTTTTTTCAGCATGTAGACTAAACCTGTTGACCTCCAAACTGGTACCTTTTCCCATCAGGAGAACAAATCAGGTACCTGTTTCCCACATATTGGTACAATAAATATCTGGGGCTCCAGAATATAGTCTAAAATGATAAGGGGGAGAACAGTGAAGCTGATCCCAGACATCAGTGCATTAAAGCCATGTTGGTTCCTTGTTCTGGATAGATCTTCTCCAGAGACTTCGTGAAGATGGAGACAGTTGAGTGGCTAATGAATCACTTCAAATCTCAGCAAGGTTTCCATCTCCTGCTGATGATTCCTTGGTCTATCCCTGGTGTCCTGGGGTCAGTGAAATGTCATAGATCCCCTCTGTAAGTAAACAGAAGAAGGTATGGGAAAGAGAACAAGCTTTCCTTCTGCTCAGCCACCTGCTTGGAGAATTTCCTAGAGATGATATATTACATGTAACTCAGAGTCTGATGCAGCCACACATGATACCACTCAAGCAGTACAGGCAATGCCATAGGACTTTGAATGTCAGAATGGGAGGGAAACTTAGTCTTTGTCTCCTGAGCCACCAGACTCAGACAAGCAAAATATCACGTAGTTAGTAATGGCAAAAATGAAGGGGTTCTCTTCAACTCTAAAAGTCTGGATGTGATAGACTGAAAATTACAATCAGTCACATCAGCAATATGAGCTTCATTCCCAGTCCTTGTTCTTCCCAGCTCACGCTGAAGCAGGACAGGTAGGATAACTGAGGGAAACATCCTGATTTTGGCAGGGGTCTACTTTCTTCTCATTGCTGCACAGATGTTGATACCCCCAACATTCTATGACATTTTATTAATGATAAGTGCCCAGGTTCCAAGTTTCCTATCTAGTCTCAGGGCAGAGAGACATTCTAACTGATCATAAATCTTACAATTCTGTGAAACAGGATAAAACTTCAGCCTTTGATGGAGCTGCAGGTTGGGCAGAGGAACATTCCTTTCAACTCAGCCAAGCTGCCTTCTTCGGGCATCCAGGCCAGCAGTGTTACATGGCCTCTGAGAAAGTCCTAAAGCAAGAAAGCAGAGTTCAATAGAGGTCACAGGCAATAGGTAGTAAACTTCCTACCACAGCTGTACTTAAATGAGGGGTGGGGAGGGCAGAAGGAGCAGGGTTCCACTCAACACAATATTCTGCTATAATCCTGCAGAACAAATGTGGAAAGGAATCTGGCTTAAACATGTTTCTTATTTGGGAGTATCTGAGCTCTTAGAGGCAGCAGGAATCATTAGAAATTCAAGAGAGCTTTCTAATGTGTTTTAGGTACTTGCAGTTCTGGCTCATTCCTTTTGTTCCTCTGCATTGTGGTCACCATGTTCTGAAACTGGCCCAATGCTGCTTGGCCCTTTGAAAGGAGCCAGTGCTGTGGCACTAATGATATGGATCCATTTGTTGGGCATGTGATGGTAGGAGAAAGTCCTCTGCTGGTTGTCATATAGGGCCTTTATTAAGTTGAGATATGTTCCTTCTATATCAACTTTGTTTAGCTTTTGTCATGAATAGATGTTGACTTTTGTCTAATGCTGCTTCTGCATCTATTGAAATAGTTTTACCCTTTTTTGTTAATGTGCTGTATCGTATTAATTGCTCTGTAAATATTGAACCATTTTTGTCCCTGGAATAAATCCCACTTGATCATGGTGTTTGATGCCTTTTATGTAATGTTGAATTCAGTTTGCTAATATTTGGTTGAGGATTTTTGCATCCATGTTCATCAGGGATATTGTCCTGTAGGGTTTTTTTCCTGGTAGTGTCTTTTCCTAGGGTCTCAAGGTGATACTGGCCACATAAATTGGCTTGAAAGTGTTTCCTTCTCTTCTATATATTGAAATAGTTTTAAAAGGATTGGAGTAGCTCTTTCAATATTTAGCAGAACGCACCAGTGGTGCCATCTCATCCTGGACAGAATTTTGGTTGTTGAGGTTTTTTATTACTGACTGAATCTGTAATAGTACAGTGGTGCCTCAGTTTTCTAATGTAATCCATTCTGGAAGATGGTTTGAGTTCTGAAACGTTTGAAAACTGAGGGATCAGCAGCCAACAGCTAGGCCTCAGGATCTTGCACTCAGTAGAAGCCGTGTGGCATGTTCAACTTCCGAGGCATGTTCAACTTCTGAGGCATGTTCGAACACGGAAGCATTTACTTACGGGTTTATGGCATTTGTAAACCAAAATATTTGTCAAAAGAGACGTTCAAAAACCAAGGTACCACTGTAATTGGTCTGTTTAGATTTTCTATTCATGATTCAGTCTTGATAGGTGGTATGTTTTAGAAATTTATCCATTTCTTCTAGGGTGTCTAATTTGTTGGTCTGTAATATTCATAGTAGTCTCTTATGATCCTATGTATTTGTTTGGTATCTGTTGTAATGGCTCCTCTTTCTAATTTTACTTACTTGAGCTTTCTCTATTTTTTGTCATGGTAAGTCTAGCTAAATATTTGACTATTTTGTTATATTACCAAAAGACCAGCTCTTAATTTCATTGATCTTTTATATTGTCTTTTTTAGTCTTTATTTTCTATTGTATTTACATTAACTTTTGTCTCAAGATATTTTTCTCTTTTGATCTTTTTTGACACATTGGCTATTCACTACCATGTTGTTTAATCTCCCCATATATATGAATTTTTCATTTTTCTTATAACTGATTTCTAGTTTCATACCATTGTGACTGGAAAAGATACTTGATATGATTTTAACCTTCTTAAATATATTCATACTTGTTTTGTAGTCTAACATATGATTTATCCTGGAGAATGTTCCATTTGTTTTATAAAAGAATGGGTATTCTCCTGCCTTAGGATGGAGTGTTCTGTAAATGTTAAGTTCATCTGGTATAACATGTCACTTAAGGCCAATGTTTGCATTGATTTTTTGTGTGTGTAGGTGATCTATTCATTAATGAAAGTGGGGTATTAAAGTCTGTTATATTACTGTCTACTTCTCCCTTTATATCTGTTAAAATTTGCTTTATATAGTTATGTGATTCTCTATTGGGTGCATAAATATTTACAGCTGTTATATCCTCTTGTTGGATTGACCCCTTTATTATTAAATCTTATTACAGTCTTTGTCTTAAAGTCTATTTTGTCTGATATAATTATAGCTATCTAAGTTTCCTTTTGGTGTATATTTGCATTTTGGTGTATATTTGCTTGGGATATCTTTTTCCATACCTTCACTTTTAGTTGTGTGTATCCTTAAAGCTGTAGTAAGTCTCTTATACACAATATATAGTTGAGATAACATATAGTTGGGTCTTATTTTTTTATCCACCAACCAGTCTGTCTGTATTTGGAGAACTTAGTCATTTACATTTAATGTAATTATTGACAGGTATGGACTTACTCTTGGTGTTTTGTTATTATGTGGCTGTTTCTTTGCAATTCTTTTATTGATTTCTTCTCTTTCTCTTATTTGTGATGTGATGATTTTCTATAGTGCAATGATTAGGTTTGTCTTTTGTGTATCTACTATAAGTTTTTATTTGTGATTAACATGAGACTTAGGTAAAATATATTTATAACAATCTATTTTAAGTTGAACAATTAAGGTCAAATGCATTCTAAAGTTCTACATTTTTCTCCCCATGTTTTATTTTTTTGCTGTCACAATGTAAATCTTTTTACCTTGGTATCCATCACAAATTATTATAGCTAGTTATTTTTACTACTTTTGTCTTTAAACCTTCATACTAGATTTATAAGTAATTAACCAACCACCATTACAACATTAGATGAACTAAATATAAATAGAATTTAGAATAGTCTGTGAGATTTATACTTTCATATGTTTTCCTCATACTAATTAGTGCCCTTTTGTTTCAGTTTGAAGACGTCCCTTTAACATTTCTTGTAAGGTTGGTCTAGTGGTGATGAACTCTTTCAGCTTTTACTTATCTGCAAATATTTTCTACATATCCGAAGGGTATTACTGGCAGGTAGAGAATTCTTGGTTAGCAGTTTTCTCTTTCAGCACTTTGAATATATCATGCCACTCCCTTCTGACCTGGAAAGTTTCTGCTGAAAAATCTGTTGACAGTCTTATGGGGATTCCATAAGACCAGTTGTTGTATATAACCAGTTGTTTTTTGGTCTTTCTGCTTTTAATATTCTCTCATTGTCTTTAACTTTTGACTACTTTGTGCCTAATTTTAAAGTTTGCTGAACTTTCTTCTGCTTTACCTATGGAAAAGATAACCCCTCTTGAACACCTCTATGGAATTTTTCAGTTCAGTTATTGTATGTTTCATCTCACTGATTTCTGTTTGGTACTTTGTTGAAATTCTCATTGTGTTTTTACATTGTTTTCTTGACCTTGGGGAGCATCTTAATGACCATATATTCAACCCTTTATCAGGTAAATTACAATCATCATTTTGCTATGGTCATTTTCTTTTATTCAGAACATATTCCTCTATTTTTTTATTTTCCTTGATTCTGTTATTTCCTATGCATTTTACAAAACAGCCATCTCTCTAAGTCTTGAAGAACTTGATCTTGCATAGGAGATGAACCTTATCCTTCATCCCTGCCCTAGCTCTTAGTTCTCTCCAATCCTTTGTGATTGTCCAAACAGATTCTTTGTTCTTAGCAGTTCCCAGTATTTGTGTATGTGCCAAGACCTGTCAGGGTAGCAAAGGAGAGGCTCTCAGTCAGCACCTGGATACTTTAAAAGCTACAGCCAAACTCACAGGCTGCAGCTTTTAAAGTATAAAAATGGCCCGGCCATGGCTCAGCTGTTGAGCATCAACCTGTGATCCAGGAGATCAAGGTTTGATTCCAGGTCCGGGCACACGCCTGGGTTGGGGGCTCCATCCGCAGTGGGGGGCATGCAGGAGGCAGCCAATCAATGACTCTCATCATTGATATTTCTATCTCTCCCTTCCTCTCTCTGAAATCAATAAAGGTATATATTTTAAAATGTACCTCTTTCAGAGAAAGACTAGACGATGGGCATTTCTTTGTGTTCCCTCGGCACTAAGCCCTTAGGGGATAACTAATTAAGAGTTGTTTCTTTGTTTCCTAATATTGTATTGAACATGTGAGCACAGCCCTGCTAGCCACCAAAGCCAGGTTATCAAGGAATGAGTGTTCAGGGCAGTCACCCCAATAGCCAGGATGCCAAAGGTGCATAAGCTCTTTTTCTGAGATGTGGTGACTTGTGGCAGGGAGAGAGAAAAAAAAGGCACCTGCTGGCCTTTCCTGTCTGTGGAGAGAATTGTATTCAGTGTCTAGATGTGTATTAAATTAGAAGCCTGTAGCTTTTAAGATAAGCAATAGGCTTCTTTCATGGAAAGACTGGACATTGTCTGCTGCCTCTGAACTGTACCCTGGGGGAGTAGCTTTTTCTCTGTTACAGTCCTTTGGGATCCATCAACATAAACCCTGCTGACCACCAGAGTCAGGTTAACAAGGTATGTCCCCTGGGCAGCAGCCACAAAAACTGGGATGCCCAAAGTGTACACAAGCTCCTTTTCAAGAGTACTGGTGACCTGGAGCAAGACAGAGGGAGACCATGAAGATGGTATCTAACAGCCTCCCAGTCTGCTCATCAAGTCAAAACTTTTAAGATAAGCAAATAGGTCTCTTTCATGAAATGATTGGGCATGTTTCATTCTGCTTTCTCTGTGCTTGGTGATGCTGGGTTAGCCACGGTGAGTCCACATGAGTCCTTTAAAAACTGTCTTAAGTCACTGTAGCCTTGTGGTTCTCATAGAAACAAGCCCTGTTGGCTTTCAGAACTAGATATTTTGGGAGCCCATCTCTAGGTAATTGTTTTAAAAGTTGGGGCACCAAATCTGTGGGGCCCAAACCCTTCACTTCTCAGGGAGAAGCTGGGAATCAAGTTCCCTCCCAGTTGTAACCACACCAGAGGTGGGTTTATTTGTGAAATTGTATCTCAGCCTCTCTTATCTGTTTGATGAGGGGATTTTTTTCTACAAGTGTGTAGGAGTTGCTCAGCTAGCATTTGGATTTCTTTCAAGGGAACTTGTTCTGTCTGTAGCTGTATATTTGGTGTGTCTATTGGAGGAGGTGAATCCAGGAGTCTCTGCTACATCACCATCTTGAACTAGAACCTCAGGAATTATCAGATTTAATGTTGTCTTTGAACTAACAGCAGAATTGCTATTATATCTGTGATCTATTGACTCTACCATAAACATGGACTCTGGAAGGCACTCTGTTAGGAAATGTTCTTCTGCCCCCAGGTACCTGGGACATAGCATACATACAACTTATTCCTCTCTGTAACTGCATGAAAGTACGAAAGTGTCCTGGATATTTTTCTGCAGGTAAATAGCTGGATATGATGAGACATTTAATATTGATATGGGGTCACTGTTTTATATTAGCCCTTATACATGTACCCAGATAAATTATCTCCCATTCAGGGCTGACTTTGATATTAAAGGTAGTCAGGAGTGAGTGCTAGTAATTTTTTGAATAATATAGTTAGTGTTACATGAAAATATTTATTTAGATGACTCCCATAATATACATCTTTAGGTATGTTCTGCAGTGAAGTCAAGCTATATTTGTTCAGTTTAAAAGGGGAAATATAAAAACAAATAGGACTGCCTATACACAATGGATTAAACTGGGAACACTGATGAAAAGTTTATAAGGCAGTCATTGCCTAGAGAAGACCAAAGAGTGAGTTGCAGTCACATCAAAATAGTTTTCAGACATTTTTCTTCCTGTGGTTTCCAACTTAGGGCAAAGCAATTAGCCTCCTTTGGCCAGGGAAATTGGGGCACAGTTCTGCTTGAGTCAACATCCCAAACAAAGGGTTTTCCTGGCCTTAGCTCCCTGTCTAGTGGGGCAGCAGAACTGATGCCAATTTATGGCCTTCCCATTTCTGAAGGTAGCTTTTGACCCCAAATGACAGGAAGCCTTGCCTGAGCACCTGGGAAACTGCTGGCCCAGCAGCACTTGAGCACAGAGTCCATCCAGTGGCTCTGCTCATCTGCAGAGATAAGCCAGCAGCCCATCTGGCCAGTGTTTAGTGAACAGGTCTGCCTGATTATCTACCCAGATAAGAGTTAGCTTCCTCTGTGCTCTCATTAGGTTCCCTTGTCAGGTGGGCTGAGGCTTGTATTCAGCAGTGGGTGGGGATACAAATTACTCTTCCAGGCAGGGACCCATATAGGGGGTAAGACTCTCGTAGACTCTTGTTTGAGGATCATGTTAAGCAGAACTGTGCACCAAATTCTTTGGCTTGACACATACAGACAGAGTGAAAAAGATGCAAAATGATATTTTAAGCATTATAAAATATACTTTAAAAATGGCAGAGACAAAGAATTCCATCATTAATTGATAGTGGTGAATGTATCAAGAATAACTATTGTAAATATTTATGCACCCAACACAGAGCAACTAAATATATAAAGCAAAAAATAGCTAAAAGGAGAAATAAATAGCAATAAAATAATAGTTGGAGACTTTAAAAATCCACTCTCAACAAAGTATAGATCATCCAGACAGAGAATCACTAAGGAAGCAGTAGATTTGAATCACACTATAAATCAAAAAGACTTGACAACAGCAGAGTACACATTTTTCTCAAGTACAGATGAAACATTTTCTAACAGAGGCTATATGTTAGGCCACAAAACAAGTCTTAGCAAATTCAAGAACACTGAAATCATAGCAAGTATCTTCTCTGACCACAATGGTAAATAATTGGAGGAAACTGGAAATTCACAAAGAAAATTAAACAAAAATTTAAATTTTCTCTTGAACAATCAGTGGATCAAAGTAGAAATTAAAGGGGGCCTAATGGAGGGATTGAGCAAAAAAGGGAAAAAATTCAGACACTGGCAACAGTGTGGTGATTGCCAAGGGGAGGCGGGTGATAGAAGGAGACTTGAGGTGGGAACACACAATACATTGTACAGATGATGTGTTGTAGAATTGTGTGTGCCTGAAACATGTATAATTGTTAACCAGTGTCACCCCAATACATTTATTAAAAAGGAAACAAAGAAATTGAAGGGGAAATAAAACATACCAAAACTATGGACGCAGCAAAAGCTGTTCAAAGGGAAATTCATACCAATAAACACACATTAAGAATCAAGAAAAATCTCAAACAACCTAACTCTATACCTCAAGAAAACAGAATTACAAACCAAAACCAAAGTTAAAAGAAAGGAACTAATAGAGCAGAAATAAATGAACGAGAGTACACAAAAACAATAGGAAATTTTAAAAACTAGAGTTGGTTCTTTGAAAACAAAATTTTGAGACTAACCAAAGAAAAGAGAGGACCCAAATCAACAAAATTATAAATAAAAGAGGGGACATTTTAATACCAGAGAAAACAAGGAACCAGTATGCCCACAAACTGGACAGTCTAGATGAAATGGAAAAATTCTTAGAAATAGAAGCCTGAACTGCCCAATTATTAGCAAGGGGAATGAATCAGTAATTAAAACCCTCCCAATGAAATAAAGCCAAGGAACAGATGGCTTCATTGGTGAATTCTACCAAATATTTAAATAAAAATTAATGCCATTTTCAAACTCTTCTCAAAAAAATCAACCTCATTCTATGTGGCCAGCGTTACCCTGATACCAAAGCCAGAAAAAGACACCACCAGAAATGAACACTACAGACAAATAATCCTGATAAATATAAATGCAAAAATTCTCAATAAAATACTAACAAGTCAAATTAGCAGCACATTTAAAGGATCATTCACCATGACCAAGTGGAAGCTGTTGTTCATCCCCAAGATATAAGGATGGCTGAACATATGAATCAATAACTGTAAATAATTACATTAGTAGAATTAAATAAAAATCAAATGATCATCTCAATAGATGAAGAAAAAGCATTTTATAAAATTTAATATCCATTCATGATAAAAAAAAAACACAACTCTTAAGAAGGTACAGAATGAACATACCTTAACATAATAAAAGCCATTATACTAAGTGAAATAAGTCGGTCAGAGAAAGACAAATACCATATGATTTCACTCATATGTAAAATCTAATGAACAAAATGAACTAATAAGCAAAACAGAGACAGTCATAGAGAGCAGGCAGACAGCTGTCGGAGAGGGGCCATGGGGGAGGGGGGAAGGAATTGAGCAAAAGAAGAACAAGCTCATGGACAACAGTGTGGTGATTGCCCAGGGAGGTGGAGGAGGGTATAGAGGGGATAGTCGGTAATGGGCAGAGACTTGACATGGTGACCACAAGATACCTTGTACAGATGTGTTGTAGAACTGTACACCTGAAACCTGTATAATTTTGTTAACCAATGTCACCTCACTAAATTCAATAAAAAGGAAAAAATATATAAATAAAGGCCAAATATGACAACAGCTAACATCATACTCAACAATAAGAGGATTAATTTGTAAACCATACACAATGTAAAAAGATATAAATTGTGATATCAATAACATAAAATGGGGGAATTAAAGTGTAGAGTTTTACATGTAAAACAAAATTGTTTCCAGCATAATTGACTATTATAACAAAATACTAGCAAATCAAATTCAACAGCACATTCAAAGATTCATACACCGTAATCAAATGAAATTTATCTCTTGGATGCATGAATAGTTTAATACACAAATATCAGTAAATGTGATAACCACATTAACGAAATGAAAGATTAAAATTATATGATCATCTCAATAGATGCAGAAAAAGCATTTTGCAAAATTCAACATTCTTTTATGATAAAAATTCTCAACTTAGGTATAGAAAGAACTTACCTCAACACAGAGCCCATGTTTGAAGAGCCCACAGCTAACATACTTAATAGTGAAAGGCTGAAAACTTTTTCTCTAAGATCAGGAACAAAACAAGGGTGCCCACTATCACCACTCTTATCCAAAACAGTACTGGAAGAGCTAGCAAGGAAAAATATATAATTAAATAAAAGGCATTAGGATTATAAAGAAAAATAAAATTCTCTATTTGCATATGCCATGATTTTATATTATATAAAAGCCTAAAGACTTCCCTCAAAAAGAGCTTTAATCAACAAATTAAGTAAATTTGCAGAATATAAAATTAACATATAAAATTAGTAATGCATGTATACAGTAACAACAAATTATCTGGGGGGGGGGAATCAACAAAATGATCCCACTTATAATAGCATCAAAAACGATAAAATACTTAGAAACAAATTTAACCAAGGAGGTGAAATATCTATACTGAAAAATACTACAATATGCTGATGAAAGAGATTGAAGACAAATAGAAAGGTATCTCATGTTCATGGAGTAGAAGAATTAATATTAAAATGTACATGCTTACACAAAAACTCATAGACACATAACAGTATGGTGGTTACCAGAGGGAAGGAGGTTAGTAAAGTCAAGTATATGGTGACAGAAGACAATTTGACTTTGGATGGTGGGCACACAATGCAATATATAGATGATGTATCATAGAATTCTGTACTTGAAACCTGTATCATTTTATTAACCAGTGTCACCCCAATAATTTTAATTTTTAAAATGTCCATACTGCCCAATGTCATCTATAGATCCAATGCAATCCCTATTAAGATTACAAGATATATTTTACAGAAATAGAAAGAAAACATCATAAAATGTATAAAGAACCACAAAAGACCTCAAACAGTCGAAGCAATCCTGAGAAAGAAGAAAGCAGGAGCCATCATGCTTCCTGATTTGAAGCTATATTTTAAAGCTATAGTAACCCAAATAATGTAGTGTTTTATAAAACAAACATAGTCTGCGCTAGCCGGTTTGACTCAGTGGTTAGCGTCAGCCTGTGGACTGAAGGGTCCCGGGTTTGATTCTGGCCAAGGGCACCTACCTCTGTTGCAGGCTCAATCCCTGGCCCCGGTCAGGGCCTGTGCGAGAAGCAACCAATCCATGTGTCTCTCTCCCTTCCACTCTCTCTGAAAAAACAATGGAAAAAAATATCCTCAGACACAGAACAGAATCAAGAGGTAGGAATAAACCCATGCATATATGGTCAATAAATGGTCAGAGACAAAGGAGCCAAGAATACTTGATGAAGAAAAGACAGGCTCTTCAATAAATGGTGCTGGGGAAATTGGATAATCATACATAAAAAATGAAACTGGACCCCTATCCTAGCACTACTTACAAAAATTAATTCAAAATGGATTAAAGAGTTGAACAGACCTGAAATTATAAAACTCCTAAAAGAAAACACAGGAAAAGCTCTTTGAGATAGGTCTGGGCAATTTTTTTTTTTATCTGACACCTATAACAAGCAAGAAAATAACTTAAACAAGTGGGACTACATCAAACCAAAAAGCTTCTTTATAGCAAAGGAAATGATCAACAGAGAACAGATTAGTGGTTAGGGGATGGGGGTGGTTAAAAGACACAAACTTCTCATTATAAAGTAAGTCATGATGATGGAATGCACAGCATAGTTACTACTGTTAACTATGTATATTTGGAAATTGCCAAGAGAGTAGATCTTAAATGTTCTTATCACAAGAAGAAATTGTAACATTTGGTGATAGATGTTAACTAAATGTATTGTGGTGATCATTTCACAATATATACAAATATCAAATCATTATTCTGTACATCTGAAACTAATGTAATGATATATGTCAAATACATCTCAATTTAAAAAAGAAAAAAGTAATCTAAATGGCCATAAAAATGCCTATGCTGAAAAAGAAGAAAGATCCCAAATTAGGAACCTAATCTTTCACCTTAAGATACAGAGGTGCAATCTAAACCAAAATGAAAAGGAGGGGAAAATAGAGTGGAAATAAATGAAAGAGAATAGGAAAATCGTAGAGAACACCAACAAAACCAAAAATTAGTCCTTTGAAAAGAACGATAAAATTTACAAATTTTATTGTTAACTAGACTTTAGAAAAAAGAAAGACTCAACTTACTAGAATCAGGAATGAAGGAGGGGATATTTCTATCAATCTTACAGAATAAAGTATCTTAAGAGAATCCTATAAGCAACTATATGCCATCAAATTAGATAAGTTAAATGCAGTGGCAAATAGATAATCCAAGTAGAACTATAACAATTAAGAACAGTTAGTAATCAAAAAACTTCCCATTAAGAAAAATGCCTAGACCCAGAGAGTTCCACTGGTAAATTCTGCCAAACATTAAAAGAATTAATATTAATTCCTCACAAACTCTTTCCCCCCAAAAATAGAAGCATAGGAAATACTCCTAATTCATTCTACAAGTCTAGTAATTACCATGATACTAAAAACAGATTTTTTAAATCACAAGGAAAGAAAACTATATACCAACACCCCTCATGAACAAAAACAAAATTCTCAACAAATACTAGCAAACTGACTATAGAACTGTATAAAAAAAGATTATAAACCATGACCAAATGGAATTTATCCCAGGAATGCAAGGTTCATTTAATATCTAAAAAATGAATTGCAATGCATGACATCAATACAATAAGAAACAAAACCACATGAGTATAATACACAGAAAAAGCATTTGGCAAAACTCAATACTCTTTCATGATAAAAACACTGACAAACTAGGAATAGAAGGGAACTTCCTCAACCTAGTAAAGGCCACTTATAAGAAACTTATACATAACATTACACTTAACAGTAGAATATTCAGTGCTTTCTCCCTAAAATCAAGAACAAGACTAGGATATTTGCTATTACTACTTTTTTTTTTGTTTTCTCACCAAGGTTATTTTTTCCATTGCTTTTTTCTGAGAGTGGAATGGAAGAGAGAGAGAGACACACACACACACACACACACACACATTGATTGGCTGCCTCCTGCATGTGTCCCTACTGGGCCAGGGATGGAGCCTGCAACCAAGGCATGTGCCCTTGGTCATAACTGAACCCAGGTTCACAGGCCAACACTGAAACACTGAGCCAAATGGGCTAGGGCCCTGCTCTTATTGCTTCTATTCAACATTGCACTAAAGGTATAGCCAGGGCAATTAGGCGAGAAAAACAAAGAAAATGCATCCAATTTGGAAAGAAGTGAGTTTGGGATTCTTTGCTTAGGAGGGTTAGTGTAACAACATTTGGGTTCAGCCATGTTGTTATGGACTCACAGCATTGTCTCTACTATTCCTCCAAATGATCCTACAGGCAAATGGTAGCTCTGTTTTAGTTTGATCAAGTCACTTTAAGATGAGGCATATTCATTAAGTAACCAGGAATGAATTGTGAATTCATAGTATTGCTGGTCTGCTTCCGAATGCTTCACACTTTTCCTCAAAATGTCAATATCACCCAGACTTTTCTTAGGATGTAAACATAAGGTGATAACATGGGCAGAGGGCAGAAAGCATGGCCTGGCAAACATACGATCCAAGTCTGGTCTGGAATGAGGGTTCTGCCTCATTTGTGTCCGTAAAAAAGAAAAAGTTAATGAAAGATAGGGGGTCTTCTGATTTACATATTAGTTAATCTTCAAATTGGAAACTGATTTAAAAATATCTGTAGTCAAGCAGAGATTTAGTCACGGGAAGGGGTAAAAGGGTATTAGGATAGATTAGGAGGGAAAGCAAATGCAGGTATTATTGAGCCAACATGGTTTTTTTTAAACTAGATGAACCTTTCTCCCATCAATCCTGTCATTTCGGTTCCTTTCTCCTTGCCCTAACTGCAGTGCTTATAAATTCTCTTGTGCTGAAATGTACATTCTGATGATATCTCAAGGTTGCCATATACTTCATTGTCTTTAGTCTTCTAATACCTGAAAAATATCCCATAATTCAAGTAATTATCATTTATCTTGTGGTTGTCCTTTCATCACTCATGAAAAATATCTGATCCTGATAGTAAATTCTGAAAATAGTATAGCAAAGTGTTTTGTAATGATATCTTAGCCACCAATACAAAAAATTATAGGAAAGCCATAGTCAGCCTACACATGCAATGAGTGTCATAGTATTTGACCCTGTGCTTCCATCCTGTTGTCTTATCAGGACGCTACTGGTTCTTCAAATATCTTACCAAAATGGCCCTGCCTTCCCCCCCCCCCC